CCCCCACCCCAGCAGCTAAGCCGAAGCCGGAGTCACTCATGACTCACTCATGACGAGGCGGCAGTTGACTGCTGACACAATGTGGCTAATGCTGTCGGCTCACTTCACCTTTTCGCCAGCTTCGCCTCCTCCTGCACATCCTCGCTCGCATCCTGGCATCCTGTGGCATCGGCAATCGGCTGGATTTTCAGTTGACTTGAATGCGACAATAATGCCATTTGGCCAGGCCATATCGCTGACTATTTGCAGTGTGTTTTGTAGTCCTTCTGTCTGTCTGTTTTGGTTTTTTTTTGCTTGTTTGTTTGTTTGGTTTTTTGTTTTTACGAATAATCCGCTTTTGCCGGGCCTGAACCTAGTCAGCTTTTGTCCGCTTCACACCAACGAGGCGGAGGATGGGTCCTGGGTCCTGGGTCCTGGGTCCTGGGTCCTGGAGCCTGGTAGAACTCTCTTTGTTTTCCGGTTTGCGCTTTTTCGTTCCATTTTCGCTTTCATTTTGGTGCAAACGGCCGAAAAACCAAAAGATTTTAATGCCATAAATTCATATTCCCATCATTCAATTGACAAATGGCCATATGTGGCCAGTGACATGGTTTCCTCCTGCCTCCACCTCCTGCTGCTGCTCCTCCTCTTTTTTTTTATGGTATATTTGTATTGTTGCAGCAGGAGGAGATTTTTAACAGGATTTGCAGTGCATTTTAACTGAATAATTGATAAAATTTTGACACAAAAGTTTATTTAAGTGCAGAGAGATGGCATAAACGAACCACAACACAGGACACACTGTCTCTCTTCCGTCTCTCTCGACTAAAAGCTACTCATCTAGTCCTGATTCAGGAGCAGCCACACTGAGGTACAAGCTCTGTCGGAACAGGCCAAAGGATTAACTGTCAAGCCCGGCAAATGGGTGTGGCCTATGAATTGTTATTAATTAATAAGAGGATAACGCAAACTGGAAATGTTTTGTCTCTGAATCTCGGTCGGTCGGTTTGGTCTGAACTGTCAACAGTCATTCAGTCATTCAGTCATTCATTCATTCAGTCATTCAGTCATTCAGTCATCTGACCGAGAGCAAGCCCTATCAAAGCCAATTGCCCAGGTTGTCCTACGTCCTTCGTCCTTTCGCCTGTTGTTGATGTATGTATGATGCACTGTGCCTGCAAAAATGAAATGTACAAAGTGGAATTGAAGTGGAATTATTCATGGGCTCTCGCTTCACCAGAAGCTGCTGCTGCTGCTGCTGCTGGGGAAAAAAGTGATGGGAATATTCCTACTTCGCGATTGTTAGCTGGGGTTGATTTTTCTGATGCCCTACGGCCCTTTTTTGGGGCAGGAAGAGCAACAGGAACGGCAGCTGGCACAGGAACAGGAAGGAGGCGTCGCTGATGCTGGTGCTGCATTCCTGCTGCTCCTGGCAAAGCCATGTCAAAGCCAGTGACAATAATAACTTTGCCTTGGAAACAACTGATGGACTAGTGGCGAAGGCTACCTGTCCCAAAAAAAAAAAAGAAAATCGAATTCAGAGAAAGGGAGTTGGAGTTCCTTCTTCAACTCCTTCTACTACCCTTTTCGTGTCCCAAAGTCATGACAATAAAACTGCAAACATGGCCCCATCAATTTCGAGTTTTTAATCTGCGATGACACTCGCACGACACTTGCCAGAGTAGGGTAAGGGGTTTCTATATCTATCTATCTAACCATCTATATAGGAAAAGGACGAGGAGGTCCTGGGGAACGCCGCATTTAGTGGCTGTTAAAGCCAAATAGTTTGGCCAATTAGCTTCTGCCTCAAACCCACAATGAAATGAAACCATTCAATGAATTCAACTTGTCATATTTATGGCCATGTTTTTTGTGGGGGGCTAGGACCATTGCCAGTGAAGCATTTTTATCGCCAGGCGACCATGCATCGTGCGTGTGCCAGCCCATTTTGTTCGTATTTGTCCCTGGTATGCCCACTTATGTCATATGCATGTTTGACTACTTAAAATTCAATTGGCTCTAAAATAAATGATTGCCAAATATGTGCTGTGCCTGCTGATGTGGCCACCGCCTCTGTCTGCCCGCCCCGCCCATTGTAACCAAGTGTCAATTGTCATGTGTCAAATTGTGGCATACAAATTAGGGTAATCAGTGTACAACAGTATGTTTGATTGCTTGCTTTATTTATGATTGTTTGCACAACTCTGCGAGCCACACACACCCACAGAGAGACACCCCACATAGTGTCCAGGTAAACACAACTAGCCACCAGCAGTAGCAACACTAGACGGGGGTGTGTGTTGTGCCAGGGTGTGTGTGTGTGCTGTGTGTGTGTGGACTGACGCACGACTATTTGCTCGGCATTTGTATAAATTGTCATTTGGCACTGGCTTGAAGGAGAGGAGAAGGAGGAGGCTTGAGTGCGGAATCGGGTATCCCAAAGCCAAAGATAATAAAAGATTTCGAATGCATAACGCGCAGGTAAAGTTAAGAATTTTCCAATATTTTGTGTCCATTTTACGGAAATATCAATTATTTTAAAAGCTACACATCGTTACATCGTTAAGAATTTTTTAAATTGAGTATGCGGACTTTTAAGCAAACAAAAACTAAAATAGGAAAGGTTTCTGAATTCTAATGAATTAATTTTTGGCTGTTATGAGTTTTTTATTTTTTGATTTGTAGAAAAAGTTGCATATAAAAATATTAATAAATTAATAATTAATCAAAGAATTATAAATTTATTATATATTATATTTTAAACTTACTTATTATCGATTTCCGATTCGATCCCATAATTCTTTTGCAAACTGAAAGATTATATAAGCTTCGGCTGGGAAAGTTAGCTTCCTTTCTGGTTTAAATGATATTTCAGGCATTTAAAACCGAAAAATTACGTATACGCACTGGTGTAATTATACTATTGCAGGGTATTATAATTTCAATCAGAAGCTTCAAAACCAGTGAAGTAGTCATTTCCGACCCTATAAATCATATATATTCTTGATGAGCATTAACAGCCAAATTGATCTAACTATGTCTGACAAAAATTTAATTTTTTCAAAAAATTTGAAAATTTTGTAAGAGGTTGTATCGTTTAAATGGTCAAAAAATGGCAAAAAAAAATTTAATTTTTTTACATTTTAAATTGAGTATGTAGATTGATAAAGCTTATAATTACTAGCGTAGGAAAGGTTTCCGAACTAAATTTAATGCATTTTTGGCTTAGTTATGAGGTTTTTAAACTTTGATTTGTTTGAAAATTTGATTTATAAAATGAATACAGTTGATAAACATCGATTCAAAGAATGGAAATCTTTTAAACTCACTTATTACCGGTTTCCGAATCTGAAACAATAATTCAATTGCAAACTGCAAGTGTTTTTAAACTCCTGCTTCCCGATATTAGTTTACTTAATTAACTATAATTCTATTAATATTGATGGTTTACTGTTAAACTCTATATTTTTCTATATATAAACATTAACGATACTATGATTTTGTATGTAGATTACCTGGCATTACTCATTCCAAACCTTATATTATCTTCACAGCAAACCCGGTTTCGTAGATTCCTCATAAGATCTCCCAAAGACCACTCACTAATTACTTTTACTGGGCTAAAAAGCTGGCACCACTTGCTCATAGAGGCAGGGCCTCATTATTTTCAACAAAACTACCCAAAATCCAAGAGGCAAATCCAAATGAAAACAAGTTAAAATATTATGAATGCATAAAGGAATAGGGGATGGGACTGGGACAGGAACAGGGGACCGGGACTGAGGACAGGCAATCCTTGGACCGGATCCGGATACGGAGCACAATTAACATGTGCGGCAGGCGAAGAGAGGGGAGGTACCGCCCAAGGGGAGGTAGGCCAATGTGGGCGTTGTCTCAACTTAAATTTTAACCCGGACAGGGATACAAAGGTCCTTTTTGGGACACACACACACACACACACACACACTGGGGTAGAGCAGCTGCAAAAAGTGGCCGCAGCTTTTAACAATACACACAAGTGTATGTGTGGGGCGTGGCGCCTTTTTGTTCACATTTCCCTCTAATGTTTTTCCTGGGCCTTTGTGCAAGGATCGTCCATAGTCCATGCTACCACCTCCCGGGAACAATTGCAGGGCAACAGCAGCTGCTACTCCTGCTCCTTCTGCTGCTCCTGCTGCTGCTGGCAAGGACAATTAGAAGGACCCAAAACCTCCTCCATGTGTGTGCGTGGCAGCTTGCTGTTGGGTGTTCCTAATGAAGGCGCAAAAATTATGAACTTTGGCCAAAGATGAACACGCTTTTAATTTATAAATACGCTGTGGTGCAGCTAAGGTACAACAAAGGACGATGAGGTCCTGGAGCACTCTGAATAATTTACAAATATATATATATATATATATATATATATATTCGGGCGGAAACTTTAATCGAAACACCTGAGCTGAGATCACACCTGGTCGCCGGAACTAGCAGCAACACGTGGCCACCGCGTTGAGGTATATTATAGGAGCCACGTGTTGCTCCTTTTAGCCGGGCTTAAAACGTAAACAAACCGCCCACTTGGAGCCAGCCAAGTTGCCACTCGTCGAGGTCGAGTGCTGCCGAAGCAACAAACGAAGTGGCAACGAGCCAACAGCCAACCGATGTTTTGAGTGAAACCCGCTCGGCTCCCGGCCAGCTGGCTCGGGTGAAAGCTCTCTTGCGAATCGCAACGAATCGGTTATAGCCATGGCCAAGACTATGGCTATGACTGTGGCCAGAAATTCCGGCAAGAAGTAACTCTGGCCGCCGTCAGTTGCTGTGCCAGCGTGTACGAGTGCGGTTCGGCAGCCGCTCGTTCGCTCTCCGGTTTTTCTTAGATCCCAAATATTCCGCTTTCGATTTCAATTTCCATTTCAATTTCAATTTCCATTTCGATTTTCGTTTCGAAATAAAACTATTATTTTACAGTGTTGTTTATTTTTACAAGTGTGTGTGTGTGTGTGGTGTTTTTGGGCTCGCGAAGCACTATCATTATTATTATTATTATTATTCAAATTATTGGAATTACTATTGCCCCGTGCAGACCAAGAAACTTGCGAAGGTCAGCGATCGCCTCTCGTCTCAGTGAGTGTTCCCAAAGAGTGTGTGTTTTTCGAGTGTTGTGTCGTAATCGCAGTGGGAGGTCTTTTCTTTTGGTGGCCTCTGATCTCTGGCGATCGTCTACAAGGGAATTCTCCATACGGCAGCTACTCAAGATTCTAAGGGCAACAGTACGTATACGTGATGTAGAGATATAACAAATGAAGGAAATTTATGAAAAAAAATATAGAAAATGTTTAAGTTGTTAATATAGTTAATAGATTGTGTCTTTTGATTTATTTCTATATATTTTGAGGGATAAAAAATACTTGCTGTTAAAGGGCAACAGTACGTATACGTGATATTGATCATTTGGGGTTTCGGCGGAAAAATTAAGGAAATTAAAAAAATAAATGATATAGAAAATATGTCAGTTGTTAGTTTAATTAATAGAGAGTGTTTTTTAATTTATTTATATTCTTTTTTAAGAATAAAAAAGACTTGCGGTAAAGAAAGGTAACAGTACGTATACGTGATATTGATCATTTGGGTTTTCTTTGAAAAAATAAAGGAAATTTAAGAAAATGTATAATGAAAATTTATACAGAGTTGTTTATATAGTTAATAGAGTGTTTTTTATTTATTTATTTCTATATTTTTTTAAGAACAAAAAAGACTTGCAGTACGGAAGGGGAACAGTGCGTATACGTAATGTGGGTTTGTGGTGGAAAGTTAAAGGAAATTTTTAGAAAAATTATATAGAAATTATATCAGTTGTTTATATAGTTAATAGAGGGGGTTTTTAAATTAATTTCTATATTATTTTAAGAACAAAAAAGACTTGCAGTAAAGAAGAGTAACAGTGCGTATACGTAATGTGAATGCTTCTGATCTTTTTTCTGAGGGGCTGTTTAACAATAATTTTGAATACTGTAGGAAGTGTATTTTCTTTGCTTATTTAGTGTCTTTCGTTATTTATTTATTTACTTATTTAATTGAGAAATAAATGCATTAAGTTGAAGGGCAACAATGCGTATACGTAATGTGCACATAGAGCCTCCTGAAGGCTGTTAATAAATGTTTTAGGGAAATTGTGTCTAAAAGTATAGTTTATTCTTAAATTTTAGTGTCAGTTAATAGACTTAGTTGGAAGAAACACACTGCGTATACGTGATCATGACCTTCAGAGTAATAAAACCAATGCGAAGACAGTTAAAAATATACAAGATATATGGAAATAAATATAGAATTATAAATAATTTTATTTTTAGAGCTAATCTGAAGTAAGTTTTTAATTTATTTCTTGATCATTTGATGGCTTTTAGAGCCCCCAACTTGAAGGGTAACAGTGCGTATACGTAATGTGGATCCTCCTAACGAAATATAAATAATGTTTGTTTTAATTGTATTTCTGTAACGATAATTGTAAAGAGTAGACCAAGTTGAAGAGAAAATCGGTTCTATAAAGGTTTTCAACAATCCAACTTTTAATTATGATTTATTTGTGCTATTTCTTTTGTTCAAATGTTTCTTTGTATTTATTGCTCTATTATTGTTTGTTATATTTAGTAATTCATTTATTTAATTTTGTTGTGTTTATTTATTGTATTTCGTAGTTTTTGTTTGCTTAATTGCATTTATTTGTTGATGTTTTTATAGCCTTTTAGGGTATTATAATTTCAGTCAGAAGCTTGAAAATAAGCGAAGGAGTTATTTCCGACCCTGTAAATTTTATATATTCTTGATCAGCATCATCAGGCGAATCTATTAAGCCATCTCCGACCGATTTTTTTTTTTTTTTTAATTTCCCATTTTTTTTTAAAGGGAAAGGGGTTACATCATGAAAATCGGTCAAAAATTCACATTTTAAATGGAGAATGCAGTTTTGTTAACCTGCTAAAAATTAACATACGGTCGCTTTCCGAATTGAAATTAATGCATTTTTGGCTAAGTTATGATATTTGGAAAATCTTGATTTGCCTAAAAAATGAGCATATAAAAATATCTATATTATATTAGCCTAGAATACAGATATTTTAGGTTTCTGTGGAGGTATACAAAGGCCTATGATTGCCAAAAGTTATGTATATATATTTTGAAATGCAATCAAAGTCTTAATCAATAAAGAATTGAAGCATTGGAAACAAATTCGGTAACTGTAAGAATATACACACTTTGGCTTATGAAAGTTAGTTACCGTACTTGTTTTTATTATTCTTTTATTTATAGTTAGTCTCTTCTTTTTATCCAATTGAGTCGTTCAACCAATCTGGAGCATTGCCAACTTATTTCTGTATTTTTTCTTAGGCGTTTAAGAGTGTCAATTAATCTGTTTATTTTTTGTAAGCTTTGGTTTATTAAAAGGGTTCCAGGGAAGGTCTCCCTGTTTAGGTTTACTTTTTCCTTAATTTCCGCCTCATCTATGAGTCACATCTGGAGCTCGTTCGCATTAGTTTATTCGGTGGAGGGGGCTTTACAGTCCTGGCTGCTTCCTCACTTACGCATGATTGGAATAAAAATGTCCTGCAGGCGGCAGCAAGGACATAACAATATATATACATGCGAGTACAACAATGACAACAAGTGTTGTCTCTCTACGAGAGCCATTAAGTGTGGCAACTACAACTGCCGGTTGCCGGTTGCCGCCACCTTCCTTCCACACACACACAAGACACACAACATGAAATTGTTGCAAAATATGAAACTGCTGTGCAGGAGTCGGAGTTGGAGTCGGAGTTGGAGTATTATCCTCGAAACCACGACCTAGGCTGGGACCCAAACCCGAACCCGAACCTTTGGTCCTTGTCTGGAACGTGCCTCCCCCCCGACGTAACCCTTTTTGAGCCCAACCACATATGCATATGGGTCTCGGGCCATGTCTGCGTGTCTCCGTGTTGTGTCTCTCCTTGTTGATAACTTAATAGCAGGACAATGCAATACTTTCCATTTACGAGTTCATTTGTATAAGGCCCAGGGAAAGGGAACTGGCCTTTAAATTGGGAGAGAGCGAGGCCGAGGAGGAGCCTGCTGAACCTCGGCCATGATCTGTGCGACTTGAAGCCACTTACATTTTGAGCACTTCCTGCTAGTAATTTCCTCCGAATATCACAATGTAAATGGAAAGTCAGGCAACGTGTGTGTTGGTCGTGACCAGGCCAAAAGTAAAGCATAAAAACGTGTGCCACAGTCGGCAACAAAATTAAGCGAACGGTGGCGGCAACTTTGCTGTAACGTGCCGTACGTGATGCTCCTCCAGCTCCAACTCCAGCTCCAGTTCCTACTCCTACTCCAGCTCCAGTTCCTACTCCAACTCCTGTCCTGATCCCACTGCCATTGGACTGTCTGCAGATACTAAATCAACTTCAACTGTTCAAGGGGTGTAACCATTCGAGGAGCACGATCCCTGGTCCCGGACATGGACATACCATGGTTACAGCTGCTATTTTTGGTTCTGTTTCTGTTCAGATTCATATAAATATGTATATGTTCTAAAGTAAATAATACAATTGGAGTGTGTAAAGGGAAGTTTTGCCTGCTAATTGGAGGGGTTTTACTCTGGAGTGGCAATGCAAAGAGGAAACCCCACCAAAAGTCATTTAAATGAATACCATTTCTGCTTTCTACTTAACTTGCCTTCATTTCGATATAGATCACTGTTCTATAATCTTTGCCACTTTGAGTGCACTAAACTTGACCATAAACAATTCGAGTAATTGCCCAAGTGGCGCAGACTTTATAAACATTATGATAAAAGCAAACCAAAGACCACAATAGAGAAACCAAGAATATAAACAAAAAACAAAAAGGCCAGAGAGATCGGTTGGTGGAGATCGTAAAATATATATTTACGGGCCATTAGTCAGTGTACACATGTGGTCGTGGTTCGGTTCTGGGTTCCCTCGAGCACGGCGGCCCGACCATCATTATTCATACCCGAAACGGAACGAAACGATACGTAACGTATCATAAAAATAAGTTTGCCGCCGCCAAAGAGCTATATTATCTATACATTTATTTATATATTTTTATTGAGAGCGCGTTAAAACTATATATTCTTGAAGAGTATATGCCAAGCGACGACAGCCTAATTTTAGACGCATTTTCCATGAGCTATACTGATACTCTACAACACCCTTACAGGCCCAGTGTTCCCAGTGATTACCTTTGACATCAGGATTGCCTGGATATATATAATTTACCTGCTCTCTCTTACTCTAGAATTGCTTATTTATTTATTTATTTCATGAGCCTCATGAGCAAAAAGTCTATAATTTATTCATTTATGACTTTTATTTTATTCATTATGATTTCTTTTGACAGAATGGTTTAATAACATATACGCTCGCTGGGGCTCATGCATGTAAATGCATTGCATCCACACACACAGCATCCATCCCAGACCATCCTCATCCATCCTCCATTCCCTTCCCTGGACCACCTGCATCCACATGCACATAAATGTACGTAGCTGCAGGCATGCATAATTGAAGAGTTGCACGTGTGAAGTCGCCAACAGCTGACGCCACTAAAGTCATCAACTGGCGCAGTGTTGCAGTTACAATTGGACCATGGAGCATGCAGCATGCAGCAGGCAGCATGCGGCATGGAGCTACAGCTTCATGTGGCAACTTTGTTGGCTGCTTGGTGCTCCAACTCCATTGAAGGCTAACCTTGCAACAGCCTGGTGCATATTTTATAGTGGCAGTCCACAGTCCAGACTGCGTCGAGTGTGTGTGTGGCAAACACATTACCCTTTTGCCGGGGCAGATTTATGGTTATCCAAATACAAAGATATCCCCCAAATGTTCAGACAGAGAAGAGGTGGGTGCAACCTTGCTAGCATCTCTCAATTTGAAGGAATACTAAGACCAGGATTCTCTGTACTTGACATTTCCTTGAGACTCTTATCATTATCATACTGATCTTTTAAAGATAAAATACATTTAGGAATAGAATATAGAGTTCTAGTTTCTTTACTTTACATTTCATTATTTTACATATTTTAAAGATCAAATTTAAGAGACTTGACATTCTGCTAAAGGAATAGAAAATGGAGTTCTAGTTACTGTGAAGTTGCAGTGGAAAGTTTCAAACATTTCATCTTGGAGACTTATATAAAATTTCAAACCGATCTTTTAAGGAAGTAACCTTTGCTTTGTTGCATGTGACAGGAAGTCCTTTCTTTTTGACTTTGCTTCCTTATCTTAAAATACAAACCAATTAGCCATCATCTTCCCGATAATTCCCCTTCTCACCTCTCATTAAACCCGATTAATCACATTTTTTTGGTTGTGCCCATTAAAATGTCAACATTTTGGGCTTTAAACTCAGAGAGAGAGAGCCGTGACATCGAAGCGGAAGTGGGATTGGGAAGTAACCGCAGTGGCAGCCGCATTCAAAGAACATCACAATAGGCACCGAAAAAAATCGTTTTATTTTAAATGCCGCTTTCATTTTCGTTTTCCTTTTCCCCCCAGTTTTTCCCCCCGTTGTTTCGCGTGAATTTTCCTGCTTTTAATATTGACTGTGCATTGCGATCCCCCATGGAGGAGCAATGCTTTTATTTCCTACAAAAATATATGTATATTAAAATACGGCTATATATATGGCATTAAACCCTTTTTGCCCAACCATATGAATGATAAAGAAAGTGCAAAGTGACCCCCGTTTGACATTAATATTTCCACTTGTTCTTTTGGTATATATTTAACAGAGTTTGGGGATCCTTCCCTCTCCACCAACCATGTCCTGCTCCTGGAGGATGACGGCGCTGTCTGCGGTGCAATAGCCTAAAGCAGCAATGTTGGCCGGCGGCTGTAGTGGTGATAGCACTGAATACGGACCAACCTTGCGGCGTCTGCCAGGAGCAGCCAACAGCAACAGCAACAGCGACGAGGCAATCAGACAGCAGCAGCAGAACCGTCTCTCAGTTGGCACAACGCCCAAGCGGCACCATCGTCCTGGTTCGGGCTCGGGTCCGGGTCCGGGTCCGGGTCCAATGACAGCCAGCAGCAGCAGCGGAGCAAGCGGAAACGGACACCACGCGGCAAAGGGTTCCAGCGGAGTCGGAGTGGGTGCCATGACAACGGTAACGGCGGGAGCCGCTTCAGGTAAGGCGACGGTCAGTCATGGTCATGGTCATGTCGGTGGACGTCGCGGTGGAGACGATAGAGTGGCGGGAGGAGGACGCAACATTGCTGGTGGTAATCGCTCCAATGTGGATGTGGGCTTTGTGGGCGGCATTGAAACCTATCTGGGACTCATCGGTTGGCGAAAGAAGTGCCTATACACGCTGCTCCTGCTGCTGATGCTGCTCATTATCACCAATCTGGTGCTGACCCTTTGGATACTCAAAGTGATGGAGTTCTCAACGGTAATTGACTAACCAACTAACTAACTAAGTATACCTACTTACTCTCCTTTCCCTGATTGATTGCAGGAGGGCATGGGTCAGCTTAAAATCATACCTGGCGGCATACAGCTATCGGGCCAGGCGATAATTATGGACATGCTCCGCGCCTCCACAATCCGTTCGCGGCATGGACAACCCATATCCATAGGTGAGTGTGTGTAGTAGAGTGTAGTGTGGTGTAGTAGAGTGTAGTGTAGTGTCACCTGCCCAGAGGCACGCTCGATTAGTCGCATACAGCCATCGTGATAGAATCGGGGTAGCTGGGGTCGGACTCCCTCATTAATATTCATTTCATAAATTTCTACTTTTCACGCTCCTGATGAGCTGATGATTGTCGCTGGTCTTTGGTTTCCGGTGGCGTGGGTGGGATTTCATCCCACCTTTGAATGTCAAAGTCACGGACGGTGACTGGTTTGAATGGACAGAGGCGTCGCATGTTTAATGAACTGCACTCGGTTTGCTATTATGCAGCCTCCAAGGAGCAACCCACTTTTTGTACACCTGCGCCGTTGAGCTTAAATATTCAGGGAGCGGAAAGGAGTGGGTTTTGATGGGGGGTTAGAAGACATGGACGACGACGACGACGACGACAAATGTGTGCCGTTGCCCATCAAGACATAAATCAGTAGATACAAGGTTGAGGCAGGAAATCAGAGACGCTAAGCGTCGGCAAATGAGATCGCTCCCGGCTCCTAGCTCCTAGCTCCTGCTCCTAGCTCCTGCTCCTGGCTTGCCACATCCAAGATGTACAATTACAGATAAACCATATGAAAGCGGGGCCAAAGAAGACGGATGCGATGGCCCAGGGACCTTCGTCCTGCATGTGTTGACAGGAAAATGCTATCAAGGAGCCAGGCTAGGAGTGCCACCAGTATTTCCCGCAGCGATAAGAAGCAGCACCAGGAGCAGGAGCAGGAGCAGGAGCAAACCGCAGACACGCACTCGGAAGTGGGTAGAGTTGGGTGTGTTGTGTGTGTTGTGTGTGTGCCGCGGACACTGACGACTCCCAGGTACGCGAGATGGCGCTGGAGATAGCTGGGAACTGATAGCTCCTGGCTGATAGCCAAGAGAGCGATGGCTTTGGCGGCAAAGGGATTTGATTTCCGTTTCCGTTTTCAGACTTGCAACTAACTTAACCAAGCTTCGAGAGACGGCCATGCGTCTCCTCCTATGTGTGTTGTATTTACTTATTTATATTGCAATTACCTGATAAAATTACCAGCATTTGTCATACAAACACTTGGATTAATTTCCTCTGCCAACTTCCTGCACCCTGGCAAGAGCTTTCCCTAAATCTATCTCTCTTTTGGTCCTCTTCGATTTCCATTTCTTACAGAATCATCACGTAATTTTTCAATCAATACACGTGACCCGAATGGTTTGATTGAGAATCATTTATTCCTGGGACACGACAAGTTCGAATGCCTCTCGCAGGGATTTCGCATCAACGATACGAATGGACGGAGCCTGTTCTCGGTGAACCGGAATGAAGTCACCATTGGAGCACATGCCCTGCGGATCGATGGCGAAGGCGGTGCCGTCTTTCGGGAATCCGTGCAGACGCCTCATGTACGCGCCGAGCCAGGACGAGAGCTCAGGTGAGTCAATAGGGAGTCGGCACGATGATCATCCTGCGATGTTTGATGCCCAATTAAAGTAAATGAAATCGAAAGCCAATCTACGGGACGCACAGGTTGCGCTAGCGTTGGTGTTGAAATTCAATGAGTGTAATAAATTTTTCAAGGCACCCACCCGGTCGGTCGTCGGTGGGGAAATCTGAGAAATAAAAAATTAAAAGCAAACACTCAGCTGCCGTGCGTCACCTTTCTGCGGTAACAAAACAAAAATAACAACCAGCCGCAACATGGGGTTGTGCCTGCAACATGGCTGCACCCGCCACTCTCTACGAGGTGTCGCTATTCAGCTCACTGAGCTCGGAGTCCTGGCCCTGCCTCGTCCTGGCCCTGTCCTGGGGAGTGAAAATATTTATACACATTTGTCTGAATGTACACAAACGGCGGCAGTGAATTAAAAAGCGCTAAAGGGGCCAGACCTTTTTTCCTGTTTGGCTAACGCAGGACGGGGAATGGGGAATGGGGAATGGTGACTGCCACTGCATTATGCAACTTGCAACCTGCCACTGACCAACCATCCAACCATCCAACCATCCAACCATCCATCCATCCCTGACTGCCTGCCTGTGCTGTGAGAGTCCTGTTTGTCCATATGAACCATTAACAGGATCGGCGGCTTGTTATAACATTTTCATTGACAAATTTGGTGATAGCTCTGGCTCGTCCTCTTGTTGGTTCATGAAAATGACAAATTGTGCGGCACTGAAGGCAGCAGGATGGATGGTTGGTTGGCAGCGATTTCAAATTGAAATTGCAATGTTTTTAAATCAACCGAACCTGTGTGAGAGGAGGCGACTTTCCGTTTCATTAGGCGCGACAGGGTACCCCATTTCAATGAGTATTAAGCGAGGTGGTGGCGCCTCTCCTACCATTTTTGATTTAATTACAGACTCGAATCGCCCACCCGGCAATTGGAGATGACGGCGGCCAAGGACATCAATTTACAATCGCGGGCCGGTGGCATTGAAGTTGTGGCCCTCGAGGATGTCAAGTTCCGAGCCCTGGACGGAAGCGTAAGTATGATTGCCAAGGCACAAAGCTTACACACTTGGGGCTGAAAGGGAAGAGCTCTGGGATCATTTCTTTTGCCTTTTCCCCACCAGCTGCGTTTGGAGTCGTCCAAGATCCTAATGCCCAACCTGCGCACAGCCCAGCCACCCATATTGGGCACCGCCCAGAGTCGGGATCATATGCATCGGGTCTTCCAGCTGTGCGCCTGCTCCAATGGTAAACTCTTCCTGGCGGCACCGCACTCCATTTGTGCGGGAGATGATTCCACGGTTTGCAGATGATTGCATGGCCTCCAGGACCATGTCCCGCAGCCAGGCTCGGGACAAGGATGGGGAAGGATCTGAGGGAGGATCGTAAATGTTGAATTATTTATACGCTAATTGTAACATAGAGTATATAACTAACACCCACACACACAGAGATATGATTGATTATCCAGGAGATGTATCCCCAGAAGAACAAAATCAAGAGCTTCTTAGACACTTGGATGTTGTGTACTAGTATCTACATATATACCACAATATCACCCAGAGACATAGGCATATCCCTCATAGGCATACACACTACATATAATATAAATATATACTCACGGAGTGAAGGTAGAGAGAGAGATAATTGTATATAATCCATATACCCAAATACCCCCCTAACCTTATCGAACGCTCTCGTGTAGATAATATCGCAATGGATCAGCATGTATTACCATATATGTATCTAGTCTATAACCCCAATTAATTATACAGCAAAAACCAAGTACGAAGACAATGAAATATCATCCAATGAATCGCAAAGAGCTATAACACTCACACGAATGCAATATGAATATCAGTATGAATAATGAATACAGAAATATATGGATAAAGGATACCAGATACCAGATACCAGATACCCGATACCAGATAAAGGATATAAGATAATGGATACTATGGATATGAATATACTAAATAGAGTTGAACCTGCAAGTTGCCGTTGAATTTGTCAAGTGCGAGTACACTGATATATAGATATATATACGATACAATATATAATAATAATGATATATAAATATAAAGAAATACCTAAGCAAATAACTAGATAAATGTATATGTATGTAAACATAATAATGAGAGAAGGCTTTTAGTTGTTGATTCTTGTTGTGTTTTGCATTTTTCCCCATTAATATTTTTTTTTTAGCACGATTAGGAAACCTAATGTTTATATACATGAAAGATATGGGGATATACGAACGAAGAAATCTTTATATAACACACATATATTGTAATACGGCAAAAGATAATGATACTAAATAAACCAAAAAAACTGAATTAAAACCTAAGGATCTCAGGTCTCCTCCTGCTGTCCCTGCAATTGGTTGGACCCAGCGGATTTTTTATTCGACAGCCGGGATTGTGCGCACTTTTTACGGGCCAAAAAGGCTCAAACGAGCGGCGCTCAAGCCGAGTGCTCTCCAACGGCGTTGGTTAACGCCTTCTTCTCTAGTCGCCACTTCAATCTGCAGCTGAACAAGTTCCTTCTGCCTGGTGCCTTGTGGGTGCGCTTCTAACCGCGAGACTCTGATGATGACTCCAAGTCAGGCGTTGTGGGTGTTACCGATGACGACCGAGACACGACGGAGTCCTCGGTTCTGGCACAATTGAGTTATTTTCCGAGGCAAGTCCTGTGCAATGTTGCTTTGAGCCAAAACTGGAGCTTTGAAAGCTTTTCCACGCAGCGACTCCATCTAGACAAATCGCCAGAGAGGGAGTGTGTGGCCAAGTGCAACTGTCCTTTGCATCATCATTTGAGGGCCAGCTTGACCCTTACACTTGCACTTCCACTGGGGGGATTGGCCCCCGGGTAAGGGTTCAAGTTTAGTCACCGCAGATCCCAGTTCCCAGATTCATCCTGGAGTTGGAGTTGGAATGGAAGCTGAAATTGGTGTGGGTAAAGTTCGGTTGACACACACGCTCCATCTGACGTTATATTTAGTATTCCATTAATATTCTAATAGGCGCTTTTGTACTTTTCTGCTCCTCATCATTGGCTACCGGGTGTAAAGTGTGTGTGGTGTGTGTCGCTCTTTTTGTCATGCTCCCTGACTAACTATGACTCCGTGTGTGTGTGCTGAGTGTGCGAGTAATCACATAAAATTTTCTAATTACCACACTAACACAAACACACGGCCCTCGAAACTGTCAGGCTAGGAAGTAACTTTCGCGAGTCGCGTGGCCTTACAGAGGCTTCCAGGATATCTTCTCCAGCTCCTGCTCCTGCTCCAGCTCCAGCTCCTGCTCCTGCTCCTGCTCCTTCGCCCAGAGCACATGCATAGTTTAAATTTCAATGCATAACTCAAGTGCTGTGCCTTCGACCTGTCTTAAGCCGTCCTAAAATTTAAATGAAAACACCTTGCGGCGCCATATGTGAGCGGCCATAAATTCAGCACAGGGCCAACCTAGAAGCCAGGACTCTAGGACTCTGGGACCCAGGGACCCAGGGATCCAGGACCCGGGAACCACCCCCATCTAGCACAAGCGTTAATGGCAGGACCCAGGGAGCGGGTTGGACGCAACAGTTAGTTAGTTAACGGTATCTAAAATGGGTGTAAACCTGCGCCAAGCTGACAAATTAAGTATGCATGAAAGTGGCAGCAACACACAACCCCCCCCCACACACACACACCCCCTCCCCCCACACACTCTAAAGGGAGAAAGCATTTCTTTAACGTTGCAGTTAATAGGATTTGGCTGGAGAGTGGAATCAAATTAATTGTTTCATTTGTTTACAAAACGCTTCAGCTTGAAGTCATTGTTGTTGCAACACTGTTGACAGCGCGATGTGTGTGTGTATGTGTGTGGGGTGTGTGTGTGGGTTGTGTGGCATGCGTGCACGTTCTGGGTGTACAGGTGTGCAAGGAGATCTTTAGGTGCATGCCTTAACTGACGTTTAAGTGGGCAATTAGGCAAAACTGTGTAATGTTTTCATCGTTAAGGATGTACGTGGTGGCACTGCTGGGTTTCCCGTGCCCAGCACAGGATTTGGCGGCGTTCGCACACACACACACACACACACACACCCTCACTCCTCCTGGACCCTGGACAGTAACTGGATTTGTTAGATGACATCAACCTCAAAGGTATAAATTGATCCAAAGGGTAAGTCTTAACCTCTTATTTCTGGTCTGGCCAGGTCTATCTAACGTTGCCTTGTCACCTGAGTATTTATTAACTTATAGCATTACACACACAAATTCCTCTGCGCAGCTGAGAAGCTGCAGTGATGCAGTGCTGCAGTCCGGCAGCTGTCCTTGGAGTCCTGAATTCCTACCGAACTTGAGCCTGGTCCCTGCTTCATTTAGTCACATGCAAAGGAGGCCCATGACCGCACTTACTTTATGGCTCCTGGGGAGCCTCAGGATCCAGGAGCAGGGAGCATCGACATTTCCGTCTTATCTCCGTGGCCTGGGGTCCAAGCAACTAAACGAATTTATGTCGTAATGAATGTCAGTTGCCACACACATATCTCCGTGTCTATCTGCGCTTTATGCACAGTTCAGCACTTCTTTCATGTTCGTTTTCCTGTGAGAGTGTTCGCCAGGATCTTGATGTTCCCGGGCGTTATCCCCATTGCGTTGGGGGTTAAATTTAATAGTTATTCAAAGCATTCGGAAGCCGTTCGAGGCAGAGCCAAGGACATAGAGTCTCCATCGCCATCGGCGTTGCCGTCATTTATAAAAATGTTTCTGCATTTTCGCGGTACCCAGCTTATCGGTGAAAGTTGGGAAAGTTGATTAGTTGCAGCTCCGCCTCAGAGAAGGCAGAAGGACAGGCTGTGTGTGGAAGGGGAAGATTGCTCAGAGGCCTAGGCTTAGCCGGGAGAAGGAGTTCGCTACAATTGCTGCTTGAGTTACGAGCTGTTCACTTCGTGCTTAACATGGTCTCCCCCGCTACCCCGAACGGGCTACACCCTTTCCTGTACTTGCCTCCTCTCCCAGCCAGGCCAGAAGTATCTGGGTCTCGTCCGTGTATCCTTTCGCGCGGTGCCTTTTTTACGAGCTGTTACCGGTCGTGCCCGCTATGCGCGAGTGCGTGTTAACAGGCAATTAAATCCGAATTACACTTTGCTCCTTTTTGCAGGCACACACAGCTACACACATACACGCAGCGTGTGTGTGTGCCTTAAACGGCAGGTGTGCCAAGCGCCACGCTCCCCGTCGCGATAAGAGTGGCGCAAAGTTCAAGAAGTCAGTGTGTGTTGGCCAGATCCTGACCCGCCAATCCGCCAACCCGCCAACCAATTAAAGATAAATTTTAATTCCCGCCACTGAATGGAGATTTATGCTGCGGGCATTAACCAGCCGAATCGGCTATCGGCTCTAATTGAATGGAAGGCGGCACCTGCTCCGCCGTCGCCCTCGCCCTCGCCCTATCCGTCGCCTTCGCCCGCCAATAATCGAATTGCCAAAAAGGTCCAGAGTCAGCACTTGCTTTGGGAATGTCAAAAGGCGCTAAGCCGCAAAAAGTTAGCCCAAGGGGGACATTAGGGGAAAACAAACAGAGTCCCCATAAAGTGCTCATACTTCAGTCAGAAACTCAGTCTGGCAAATAGGTTTTATATTTTTGCACTGGCAGAAATCCTATTCAATCTCATTGCACTAACATTTTTCTATAGTAAATAGTTAAATATATTAAAAAAATATTGTAATTATTCCATAAAATATGTAAAGTATTATGCAAAACGAAGAGCATAAAAGCAATAGTTTTAAGTGACAAAGAAGTTTATTTTAGCCAGCTATTGCACCTGTGTAAATTAATGAATTTGTACTGAAAATACAAATATGTATCAAATATAAAATATATCACTTAACTGGTATGTAAAACTTAAATACAGTGTTGTTAGAGTCTGCTTAATAAATTTTCCAAAGGTTGTGCAGCTTCGATCTGCTACCCAAAACAGTGTGCTACCATTAAATATCAACACGAATTTTTTGCCCCGCAAAAGTATGCAATAAAAAGCAATTAGCAACCATTTCGAACTGTCTGACTGTAAAACTGCGCATCTTTTAGGCTGAATTAAAAGAAAGCGGAAATGAAATGCGTAGCATACTTTTCGGCATATTGTAGTCTGGGACACAGTTTGAAGGGAACTGGAAATACTTAGATCTGTTGCCCAAAACAGTATGCTATCATTAAATATCAACTCAATTATATTTTGCCCCGTGGAATTATGCAATTAAAAATATTTGGCAAAGAATTTGCGCTGTCTGGCTGTGCATCTTTTAGGCTGAATTATTAGAAGGCGGAAGTGAAAAATGCGTAGCATACTTTTCTGCATATTGTAGACAGGGGCTCTGTTTGAAATACATTGGTCCCAAAAGATGCAAATCTAGGAACCCAACATAACTTGCTGCATATAATAATATAATCCAGACATTTTTGCTTTTTAATTTTCCTAAGACCGTTGAGCAATGTTCTGCAGCCCAAAACAGTGTACTATCATTTATCGGCACAATATTTTTTGCTCCGCGAAAGTAGGCAATAAAAAAAATAGTAGAGAGTAGCTAAACGTTAGGGACATTATGGTGCATCTTTTGGCTGAATTATAATGAGAGCGGAAGTGACAATACATGGCATACATTTGCGCTGAGCTTAGACCGGAAGCACAGATTTTAATATAATAATCGCTAGCCTATTAAATTTCCAGGACGGAGGAAGGGGAAAGGGAGGGTTCCGCCTAAGATATATGGATCTATCTGATCGCAGGTCAAACAACGCGCACCGGAATCGGCTAGGAAACGCCGAGCGAGGCTGCTGTCCCAGAACGGAAAAACACAAGCAGGAGGAACAGGAGGATCTCCAATATAAATATAACATTACATTCATTTTCTAATAAATTCAAGTTTTTAATAAAAAAAATTGTACAAAACAAATTAAAAAAAAAGGAGTCATTTTCAAACCAAAGTCAAAATTGTTAAATGAAAAGAAACCATTTTATATTTATAATCCATATACGGAAAAGCCTTTCCAAGCCGTTTCTAATAAATTAATGTTTTATATAAAATAAACTCTGCGTAATTGAAAGGAACCATTTAATAAATAAATAACACATCTTTCGAACCAAAGTAATGGCTGAATATTCGAATCGTCAAAAGGTGAACAGCAAGAAATTAAAAACAAAAAGTTAGAGACGAAGAAAATCGCAACACAGTCAAATACAATAAATCAAATAAATACAAATTAATAAACAAAATCCGAATGGAAAAATAAAAAAATATGTGACTTCACGGGCAGTACAATATGAAGTGAGCCTAGGGCCCGCTGGCGTGCTTTTTATACAGGGACCAAATGGGATCAGTGTGACTGTGGCTGTTCTTACTGCTGACGCGTTTTCGATGGCTGCCGATAGTTGCCTTTGTTGATAAAGGATACAAACTGGAACTTATCGGATCCGAAATTCGAATTCTACGATATATTGAAAAGCATTTTATGAAAGAATCGAAGCACTCCTTGAAAAAGTTGTTTAAGGCTGTTTCAGATTTCATATTTCAGATTTCATATTTCAAGTAATATTTTCTCGTGTGAAACTTTTTAAACGGGATTTTCTCAGGGCTTCATCGAAGAAGTATGGATTTTGAGACCAGCATGACCACCTCCCTCGCAAATCTTTCGGAGGAGGAGCTCAAGCATCAAGGCGACTGCTTGTTCAAAGATCGCAAGTTTGAAGATGCCATAAAGAGCTACTCGGCAGCCTTGGTAAGTATTCAAAAGTTGTATGAACGATTGAAAATCTAAAAAGAACGTACACAGAAATACTTTCCAAAACTAAACCCCTGAGATACTATATTTAAAAACGTTGTATTTCTTTGATTTGCAGAATATTGACCCCTCAAACTATCATCTCCTTATGGATCGGGCCATGTGCCACGAAAAGCTCAAGCAATGGGAGCTATTTGTCCAGGATTGGCGTCGTGCCCTGAACATCAAGTCACAACGTCTATTTGCAGCCGGACTATTGATGGGCGCCAATGTTATGGACTGTGAGAACATTGAGGACGCCACCAAGTGCTTGGAGACCGGTTAGTTAATATAGAAATATGAACTGAACAAATTAATAACCGGGATGGCAATGAATATTATTTCAGCTCTTGGCGTGGCCAAGAAAGAAGTCGCTAGCAACACTACAGATGTTGCTGTGAAGTTGGAAAAGGCTCGCAAGAAGAATTGGATCGACTTTCAGTCGAAAGAGATACAACAAGAAACAAAAATGCTTCTCCATATGAATGAGTAACAATTTAAAAAAGAAACCTCCGTTTCAGTTAATCAATATTTCTTATATATACCAAATGTTTACAGTTTATTGAGGGCCGATGAAAATAATCGCTTGTCGGAATTGACGAAAAATACCAACAATTTGCCAGAAGATGAGCTGCAGATGCAAAAGCAACAAATTCAACAGGAATGTGTAAGTTTCTCTTTATTTTTTACTCATTTTTTATATATATTTTTTGTTTTAATGTTATGCGAATCGAACTAACTGAGTTGATTATTAATGACAAAATTGCAAAACTATAAGGGTACACAAACTTCGGACCGAAACCGAAAATGGTTTCTTTTCTTGTATTAATATAATTTCCGACCCTATAAATCAGATATATTCCTTCCGGCACCTTTCCTTTTTTTTAAAAAATGGGAAATTTCGGAGATGGCTTAAAAGATTCGCCTGTAGATGCTGATCAAGAATATATATATGATTTATAGGGTCGGAAATGACTCCTTCACTTTCTTTTAAGCTTCTGACTGAAGGCCCATTCCCAATTTTGTACCGATATTAACGATATTATTATATGAAATTTTTCGACAAATCAAATTTTAAAAATCTCATAACTAGGCCAAAAATGCATTAATTTCAATTCGGAAAGCGGCCGTATGCAATTTTTTAGCAGGTTAATAAAACTGCATACTCAATTTAAAATGTGAATTTTTGGCCGATTTTCGCAAATTTTCATGATGTAACCCCTTTCCTTTTTTTTAAAAAATGGGAAATTTCGGAGAAAAATTTTGTTCGCCGGAGATGGCTTACAAGATTCGCCTGTAGATGCTGATCAAGAATATATATGATTTATAGGGTCGGAAATGACTCCTTCACTTTCTTTTAAGCTTCTGAATAAAGGTCCATTACCATTTTTGTACCGATATTAACAATATTTTTATTTGAAATTTTTCGACAAATCAAATTTAAAAATCTCATAACTAGGCCAAAAATGCATTAATTTCAATTCGGAAAGCGGCCGTATGCAATTTTTTAGCAGGTTAACAAAACTGCATACTCCATTTAAAATGTGAATTTTTGGCCGATTTTCGCAAATTTTCATGATGGTACCCCTTTCCTTTTTTTTAAAAAATGGGAAATTTCGGAGAAAATTTTTTTCGGCCGGAGATGGCTTAAAAGATTCGCCTGTAGATGCTGATCAAGAATATATATATTTATAGGGTCGGAAATGACTCCTTCACTTTCTTTTAAGCTTCTGAATAAAGGTCCATTACCATTTTTGTACCGATATTAACAATATTTTTATTTGAAATTTTTCGACAAATCAAAATTTAAAAATCTCATAACTAGGCCAAAAATGCATTAATTTCAATTCGGAAAGCGGCCGTATGCAATTTTTTAGCAGGTTAACAAAACTGCATACTCCATTTAAAATGTGAATTTTTGGCCGATTTTCGCAAATTTTCATGATGTAACCCCTTTCCTTTTTTTTAAAAAATGGGAAATTTCGGAGAAAAATTTTTTTCGGCCGGAGATGGCTTAAAAGATTCGCCTGTAGATGCTGATCAAGAATATATATGATTTATAGGGTCGGAAATGACTCCTTCACTTTCTTTTAAGCTTCTGAATAAAGGTCCATTACCATTTTTGTACCGATATTAACAATATTTTTATTTGAAATTTTTCGACAAATCAAATTTAAAAATCTCATAACTAGGCCAAAAATGCATTAATTTCAATTCGGAAAGCGGCCGTATGCAATTTTTTAGCAGGTTAACAAAACTGCATACTCCATTTAAAATGTGAATTTTTGGCCGATTTTCGCAAATTTTCATGATGTAACCCCTTTCCTTTTTTTTAAAAAATGGGAAATTTCGGAGAAAAATTTTTTTCGGCCGGAGATGGCTTAAAAGATTCGCCTGTAGATGCTGATCAAGAATATATATGATTTATAGGGTCGGAAATGACTCCTTCACTTTCTTTTAAGCTTCTGAATAAAGGTCCATTACCATTTTTGTACCGATATTAACAATATTTTTATTTGAAATTTTTCGACAAATCAAAATTTAAAAATCTCATAACTAGGCCAAAAATGCATTAATTTCAATTCGGAAAGCGGCCGTATGCAATTTTTTAGCAGGTTAACAAAACTGCATACTCCATTTAAAATGTGAATTTTTGGCCGATTTTCGCAAATTTTCATGATGTAACCCCTTTCCTTTTTTTTAAAAAATGGGAAATTTCGGAGAAAAATTTTTTTCGGCCGGAGATGGCTTAAAAGATTCGCCTGTAGATGCTGATCAAGAATATATATGATTTATAGGGTCGGAAATGACTCCTTCACTTTCTTTTAAGCTTCTGAATAAAGGTCCATTACCATTTTTGTACCGATATTAACAATATTTTTATTTGAAATTTTTCGACAAATCAAAATTTAAAAATCTCATAACTAGGCCAAAAATGCATTAATTTCAATTCGGAAAGCGGCCGTATGCAATTTTTTAGCAGGTTAACAAAACTGCATACTCCATTTAAAATGTGAATTTTTGGCCGATTTTCGCAAATTTTCATGATGTAACCCCTTTCCTTTTTTTTAAAAAATGGGAAATTTCGGAGAAAAATTTTTTTCGGCCGGAGATGGCTTAAAAGATTCGCCTGTAGATGCTGATCAAGAATATATATGATTTATAGGGTCGGAAATGACTCCTTCACTTTCTTTTAAGCTTCTGAATAAAGGTCCATTACCATTTTTGTACCGATATTAACAATATTTTTATTTGAAATTTTTCGACAAATCAAAATTTAAAAATCTCATAACTAGGCCAAAAATGCATTAATTTCAATTCGGAAAGCGGCCGTATGCAATTTTTTAGCAGGTTAACAAAACTGCATACTCCATTTAAAATGTGAATTTTTGGCCGATTTTCGCAAATTTTCATGATGTAACCCCTTTCCTTTTTTTTAAAAAATGGGAAATTTCGGAGAAAAATTTTTTTCGGCCGGAGATGGCTTAAAAGATTCGCCTGTAGATGCTGATCAAGAATATATATGATTTATAGGGTCGGAAATGACTCCTTCACTTTCTTTTAAGCTTCTGAATAAAGGTCCATTACCATTTTTGTACCGATATTAACAATATTTTTATTTGAAATTTTTCGACAATCAAATTTAAAAATCTCATAACTAGGCCAAAAATGCATTAATTTCAATTCGGAAAGCGGCCGTATGCAATTTTTTAGCAGGTTAACAAAACTGCATACTCCATTTAAAATGTGAATTTTTGGCCGATTTTCGCAAATTTTCATGATGTAACCCCTTTCCTTTTTTTAAAAAATGGGAAATTTCGGAGAAAAATTTTTTTCGGCCGGAGATGGCTTAAAAGATTCGCCTGTAGATGCTGATCAAGAATATATATGATTTATAGGGTCGGAAATGACTCCTTCACTTTCTTTTAAGCTTCTGAATAAAGGTCCATTACCATTTTTGTACCGATATTAACAATATTTTTATTTGAAATTTTTCGACAAATCAAAATTTAAAAATCTCATAACTAGGCCAAAAATGCATTAATTTCAATTCGGAAAGCGGCCGTATGCAATTTTTTAGCAGGTTAACAAAACTGCATACTCCATTTAAAATGTGAATTTTTGGCCGATTTTCGCAAATTTTCATGATGTAACCCCTTTCCTTTTTTTAAAAAATGGGAAATTTCGGAGAAAAATTTTTTTCGGCCGGAGATGGCTTAAAAGATTCGCCTGTAGATGCTGATCAAGAATATATATGATTTATAGGGTCGGAAATGACTCCTTCACTTTCTTTTAAGCTTCTGAATAAAGGTCCATTACCATTTTTGTACCGATATTAACAATATTTTTATTTGAAATTTTTCGACAAATCAAAATTTAAAAATCTCATAACTAGGCCAAAAATGCATTAATTTCAATTCGGAAAGCGGCCGTATGCAATTTTTTAGCAGGTTAACAAAACTGCATACTCCATTTAAAATGTGAATTTTTGGCCGATTTTCGCAAATTTTCATGATGTAACCCCTTTCCTTTTTTTAAAAAATGGGAAATTTCGGAGAAAAATTTTTTCGGCCGGAGATGGCTTAAAAGATTCGCCTGTAGATGCTGATCAAGAATATATATGATTTATAGGGTCGGAAATGACTCCTTCACTTTCTTTTAAGCTTCTGAATAAAGGTCCATTACCATTTTTGTACCGATATTAACAATATTTTTATTTGAAATTTTTCGACAAATCAAATTTAAAAATCTCATAACTAGGCCAAAAATGCATTAATTTCAATTCGGAAAGCGGCCGTATGCAATTTTTTAGCAGGTTAACAAAACTGCATACTCCATTTAAAATGTGAATTTTTGGCCGATTTTCGCAAATTTTCATGATGTAACCCCTTTCCTTTTTTTTAAAAAATGGGAAATTTCGGAGAAAAATTTTTTTCGGCCGGAGATGGCTTAAAAGATTCGCCTGTAGATGCTGATCAAGAATATATATGATTTATAGGGTCGGAAATGACTCCTTCACTTTCTTTTAAGCTTCTGAATAAAGGTCCATTACCATTTTTGTACCGATATTAACAATATTTTTATTTGAAATTTTTCGACAAATCAAATTTAAAAATCTCATAACTAGGCCAAAAATGCATTAATTTCAATTCGGAAAGCGGCCGTATGCAATTTTTTAGCAGGTTAACAAAACTGCATACTCCATTTAAAATGTGAATTTTTGGCCGATTTTCGCAAATTTTCATGATGTAACCCCTTTCCTTTTTTTAAAAAATGGGAAATTTCGGAGAAAAATTTTTTTCGGCCGGAGATGGCTTAAAAGATTCGCCTGTAGATGCTGATCAAGAATATATATGATTTATAGGGTCGGAAATGACTCCTTCACTTTCTTTTAAGCTTCTGAATAAAGGTCCATTACCATTTTTGTACCGATATTAACAATATTTTTATTTGAAATTTTTCGACAAATCAAATTTAAAAATCTCATAACTAGGCCAAAAATGCATTAATTTCAATTCGGAAAGCGGCCGTATGCAATTTTTTAGCAGGTTAACAAAACTGCATACTCCATTTAAAATGTGAATTTTTGGCCGATTTTCGCAAATTTTCATGATGTAACCCCTTTCCTTTTTTTTAAAAAATGGGAAATTTCGGAGAAAAATTTTT